GGGTAAATAACTCCCAAAGGGGGAGACTGTTACTTGCTTTATGCAGGGGAATAAGAGAAAATAAGGCGACCCTTACTCTGTTGCATCATCTGTCTGCACAGGGAATGGAGTAATAGAGGAACCCTATCAGGAGAGTTGTATAGAGGATGATAATTCAATTTTGTGGCAGCTTTTGATATTGGTCTTAGCTTGGCAGTGGAACCAAAACAAACCTTTAGAATGTTTTAGTGAAAACAAAACAGAGGCAGAGTCTTTGCTATTTAATCAAAACTTGAGCTTCTTGAGCACAAGACTCACGTGCTATCGTCTGGTGGTTAAGGGCACTGGGATGTAGAAGAACCATGTTCAAGCCTTTGCTCTGCCTGATTCTGAGTAAAATTTTCCAATCCAGGCCACTCCGAAGAGGGCAGATCAGAAACTTGAACTTGGGACTCACACTCCAACGACCAGACTATAGAGCAGCGGTTCCCAAACTTTTCCAGATGGGGACCCATTTTAACAATTCAGGAAGACTTGGTGACCCAAGGCAATTAAAAAATGGGGGGAAGAGAGGGGGCAGAGCCACCTGTGGCTACACTTGGTGACCCTTTTGAAATGTAATAGCGACCCATATTTGGGTCCCAACCCATAGGTTGGGAAACCCTGCTATACAGGATGAATGTAGCACATTTGATCTCTGCTGACTGGCATGCTCAGGAACCAAAATTCCTTCTCAATGAAAGCCTTGTCAAAAAGTTTTGGCTTCAATGCAATTTGACCAGCTCTCTGAGGCTGCTGCTCCTGCCCACCCACAGGTTCAGAAATACTATAAGAAGGATGCCATTTTCAGAGTGACTCAATGTTAAAGCCTAGAGAATTCAAAGGATTCTAGTAGGCATTTTGCTTGCATTTCCAGGGAGGCTTGCTTTTCTTTAACTAAGGCAATGTTAGAGCTCTGTCCACCAAATCAGCACAACTGTACCGTAAGGGCTCAGTCTTGCAATCCTTGGCCTTTGAAAGCTCTCCCTATGCTCCAAGTAGCATAGGGATTGTTAGACTATTGAGTCTAACAAGTTCATAGAGTCTGCAGTAGACAAATACTCTACTATACAATACACTCAGCCACAAAAAATGTTATGGAATAATTACAATTTCATCCAGGAAATACTAAAATATTACACAAGAAGATCAGGATAACCTTGAAAATGGGAGTATTAGAAACAAGATGCAATAGTATGAAGTCATGTATTTAGAACAACAAGAAATGTTGCTGTAATCTGGGGACATGTCAGTTAGAAATGACAGAAGAAAGACCGGAGTGTATTGGTTGATCACAGAAAGACTATGAGCTGCCAATATTATGTGGCCATGAAAAAGTTTTCTGACAGTACACTACGCCTCTCCTTCTCTCTGCATTTGTGGTTTAACTTTTGCATTTTATGCTATTTGTCTTACTGGTTCAAAAATTGCCTCCACAAGCTTGAGTCATTTGCATTTGTCAGGGTAGCCAGTATCTCATCCTTTCACTGCAGTGTTTCTGGTGAATTTGGTTTCAAAGTTGTAGTCTGAATAGCCTGCAAAGTCTCCTTTTCAATACTTCATCACAAATTAAACAGGTTAAAGCAGACAGGACAAATGTCAAAATCTCAAAGCAACATCTCAAACAGTCAACTAGCCAGATGAAAAACAATCGAGAGCCAAACAGAAAAGTATCGAATAACAAATGTTCACCTTACTCCAAGATGCATAACTGATATATCTGCTGATATTCAGCAGTCAGAACTGGAGACAGCTGTCACACACATCTTCTCCAACTGTAAATTTTGCTCTCTTCCTACTGGAAGAAGGTTCATTATGTAACAGCAATGAGTACCAGACAAAGCTGCTACTTATACACTCCAGCACTGAAACCCAGATTGATTGGGAACTGTCACCAAAGGACAGGCCCATGCAATTGAAACAAGACACAATCTAGGCATAAACCAGTCATTCCACTGAGTTCAAACTTAGATGTTATCTAAAGTTACTGAATTCTACTCATTTCCTCTGATTGCAATTGAATTAAAATTATTATAAAATATGCACCTTAGGGTTTAATTTAAAGTCAAAGTCATATGTTCTACAAGACTACAAATTTAGATGTTAAAAGTATTTACTAAAGCTATATGTAAACCCTCATTTAGATCTTTCTGAGGCTACATCTACATTGTGGGTTTTTTGCGGAAGAGGAAATGCAAATAGATTGCTCATTTGCATATCTTCTTCCAATCCTTTTTGCAGAAGAGGTTTTTGCAATAAAAAGCCCTGTGTAGGCGGAGCCATTTATTGGGGAAAAAACTCCTTTGTGCAAGATCCCTTATTCCTCAAAAAATGAGGTTAACAGGCTATTGTGCAAAAGGGTTCCTTTCCAACAAATGGTCCAGTCTACACAGGGCTTTTTATTGCAAAAACTTCTTCAGCAAAAAAGGATCGGAGGAAGATAAGCAAATGAGAGCGCGAGATATGCAAATGAGTGCTCCATTTGCATTTCCTCTTCCTCAAAAAACCTGCAGTGTAGACATAGCCTGAGTAAAACAAAATTTAGAGATGTTCAATTATTAATTCTAGCAAGAAGTCACACTGGGTCAAACAGCATTAATGAGAAATGTATCTTCCTATCAATGGCCTAATGGAGAAATTGAAATGAATAGTGAGATGGCAGAACATTCAGAGAGAAAGTATATGGTAGACAGTAAAGAGCAAATGCCGATGAAGGTACATTGATTTGAAAGAAGACAACTACATAGTCACCAAAAAAAGAACCGCAAAAATAGATACCAAGTATCTTAAAGGCAAATATTTCCAAAGTTTTCCATGCAAAATACTGAATTTAACTTCCATAATATCTAAAAGATCGGGCCTTTGTAGCTTTTGCTATTGATTTCAGTACTATAATAAACCAAAAGCCTGTTTCAGACTTCTCAAAATAAAATGTCTTTAAAACAGAATTATTTGACAGACAGCTCAACAGGCAGGATCTATTCCATGTTCATCTTCTGCTTTGATAAAACTTACTAAGCTACAAAAAAGATTTTCTCATGTTTCCTCTTGACTTTATGTCAGGAAAGAAGATCAGATTTTGTGATCTCATCCTGAATAGATGCGTACTCCTAATATTATGAATTAGCTAATAACAAGTATTAGCTAATAGCAAGTTAACATGATGTTGAATTTCTTCTGTGAAACAGGTCATTGCGAGTACAAGCAAGAAACCTATGTAATAAATACACTGTCATTAAACTACTATTGTGACATGAAGGTTATTTCCTGGATACCTTGATGTACCGGCTACTGGTAAATGTTGATGATTTAATGCTAACCACTATACAATATCCATGTTCTATCAGAAAAAAAAGTTAAAAGGAAGGCAGCTATGTGTAGCATTTTCTTTCCTTTCAAAGAAAAAGGCCTCACATTTTCCCCCAGTTAGCATTCAGACAGGAAGCGTGCTGTTCAATGGTATGTGCAGATAAACTACTGGGCTGTGTCTACACTGGGCCACTTATTCCGGAAAATCAGCCGCTTTTCCGGAATAAGCTGCAAGCTGTCTACACTGGCCCTTGAATTTCCGGAAAAGCAACGATGCTCTACTGTACAAAATCAGCCGCTATTCCGGAAAAACTATTCTGCTCCCGCTCGGGCATAAGTCCTTATTCCAGAACACTGTTCCGGAAAAGGGCCAGTGTAGACAGCCCAGTAGTCTTTTCCGGAAAAAAGCCCTGATCGTGAAAATGACGATAGGGGCTCTTTTCCGGAAAAGCGCGTCTACATTGGCCACAGATGCTTTTCCGGAAAAAGGGCTTTTCCGGAAAAGCAGCCTGCCAATGTAGACGCTCCTTTTCCGGAAATACTTATAACGAAAACTATTCTGTTTTAAGCATTTCCGGAAATTCATGCCAGTGTAGACACAGCCCTGGTGTGTGGCTGATCACATGTATTTTAAAATCAGCTAGACAGTGTATAAAGACAGACACACGGTAGGTCAAGAAGGCCTTGAATCTACAAATCCTTGCATGGTGAGATATAGTGGGTATTACTTCAATACATGTGAGAGTACATGAGGCACAAGTAAGGTTAAATACTAGTCACAGCCCTCCACATTGACTGGCAGGGAGTCTGAAGCACCCCTTTATGTACACTTTCTTATTCATAAGTGTAAAAAGGAGTGGGGAGAGAGAGACATGTTTAAGCATGTTCCTCATGTTATTAAACCCCTTACCCATGTATGACTTTTATAAGTTTTACCCCTGCTACATAAGGGTCAAAAATAAATTTGACAGCATATTTCATGTTAGTTTTTTATATTATGGGTCATAGACATTGTGGTATCAGAAATATCACTAGTTCAATGACATTTATATTGCCTACTAATCTCAATTCTGGGGTTAGTTGAGGGCTTGATCACTTAGGTGGTAGAGAAAAAAGTATTCCCTCCACCGCAAGAGTCACTGAATGAAATTCTATGGCCTGTGTAATGCCAGAGAGCAGACAAGATGATTTTAGTGATTCATTCCGGCCTTAAAATCTATAGGCCTGATTCTCATTTACACTCGGATCCTCTTACATGGCTCTGTACACTGATGCACACTTTCAGACCCCCGTTCTCTGACAGAGCAATGTAAGGAGGCCTTGAAGCAGTGATACTCTGACCTCAGTGGTTTAAGAGCCAAATTAGAGATCAACATTACCCAAAAGAACCACAGTAGTGTGAAGTCATTGTTTCATTTACTATCTGTGTATTATTCTCACAGCAAAATGATGGACCAAGTATTCTGCAGTTAGTTAATATCAGAGGGTTGGTTCTTAATTAAAATCACAGTGTTTTAATATCATATCCTGCAAAAAGTCACAGAAAACACATTAGAGCTACTTTCAGCTCCAATGTCTCATATTGACTCTCACTGCCTTAGAGTAAATCAGAATCAGGCCCTACAAATCTATATAGCACTATTGTAAAATTTTCATCAGAACAGCTCTCTTACCTCTTTCTCCATCTGCACTCCTTCTGCTCTGATATTTCTTTCAAATACCTCCCTCTTCTCTGCTTGTGGGCTAGATTTTCTGTACACCAGAATGTAGTCAATCCGGCTTTTTCCATCCCTAAAATATAGCCCATTGGATTTGTTCTTATCAGGTACTCCCTGTGAAGAGCAAAAACAATTACCAAAGCATATTTGACTGTTACCATGTGAACCAAAGGAGCTACACATTTCAGTGTGTTTCAGTATAAAAGGCTTGATTGGTAAGAAATCAGGAGAAGCGGGCCAAGTCTTTAAATGATTTGTGAGAGATGTTTCATAGAATTGGTAGCTTTGTCTAGCATCCCATACAAATCTTCTGGATTTGATGGACTCTACTTAAGCAAAAAGGGACTGACCTTCCAGACTCAACACTTGGATGCCTGGTTAGGCAAGCTTTAAGCTTGGTAGGAAAGGGAGATTTCATGTCAATCAAAGTTTGGAAGGAACTTTCAACATACACAATTAAGTAGAAGATGGAGTTATTCTGAAACGAAAGTAGAAGACTTAAGAGCTTAATGCACTAAAATTGTTGTCTACAAAGTAAAAAAACTGGAAGCATTTCAAAGTGATGGTGATTATGACCTCCTGTATTAAGTGTAACTAAATGCCAGTGGGCAGGTCCCTTGTGTGGCAGCAGTGGCTTCAGCAGTCCTCACAAATGACAGAGGACACAAGTTTTGTTTCCACCCCAGCACAGTCCCCCAGATTAATTTTAGAACACTTCAGATCTATTGAACAGACCAGCTAATAAGAGGAGATAACTCACAAGCTATCCTTAGTGATGGACAAAGAAAACACAACTTCTCGACTTCTACATGTAAACAATAGACGTGTTCAAGCATTTGCTACCTTTGCAACAAGCAAACAGATTTATCTTTTTTTTCTTTAGTAAACAGAGATCAACTGAGGCTGATTCCTTCCCAAAAATTTAAAGAACTGGCAAACCAGTCCCTTTTAAAGAGTCAGTTGAGCTGTGGAGTTGAAGTATGTCTTTTATTCCTCACCCATTTTGCCAACACCTCTATCTACAACACACACATTCTCTCTCTCTCTTTCTCTCTTTCCCACCAGCACCACCCCCTATCAACTGGCAGTCTTAGGCTTTTGTGTAAGTGCAGTTTGTTCCTCAATGTGTGGGAATTGTACACTTCAAAGGCTGAGGTGCCGCAGGAAGGGTGGGACCAGTGGTGGTCCCCTTTGGCTCCACTCACCCTGTGGTGCCTGAGCCTTTGAAATGTACAAGAGCCCTGGGTCTTTCAAAAGCAGAAGCCCTGCAGGGAGTGCACCCACTGGCCCTGTGTTTCCTAAGGTCCCTGAGCTTGCACCGCTTCTGCTAAGATTCTGCTTCTGAAATGTACAAGTGCCCCAACTGGGCTCTTGTACATTTCAAAAGGAAGCCCCACAGGGAGCATGGGACCAGCGGGGGCTCTTGTACATTTCAAAAGCAGACTTGCAGCAGAAGTGGTGCAAGCAGAGACTGCTTCAGTCCCCGCTTGTGCCGTTTCTGCTGTGCTTCTACCTTCCCTGGCCCCTGCAGAGACGGTGCTGGGGGGGAACTGGCTTTTAAGCCAACTCCCCTCAGTAGCGGCTCCTGCTCCTCCCCCTTGCAGCCTCTCTTTGATAGAAGCAGCAAAGAGGGCGGGGAGAAACTAGTCGCATCACTAGTCGACTATCTAATAAACTTCTGCTTATCAGATAGTAGACTAGTTGACTAATTTCTTACATCCCTAGTGCAGAGTTGCTATGGTATGTAAAGTCTGTCAAGTAAGAAAGGAAGGCAAAAACAAAGCTTGAAAGCTTTAGGAAATTATCTGAGAATTTTCATTTATATTGCATATAGTACTATAATTGACA